TGTAGACTTAGCACCTGAGCATTTATGTCACAGTGAGCTAAATATGTAACGCCTTTCGGCAGGTTTTCCTCAATTTGCCATTATCAGGGATTTCTGCCTCCTGTCTGCCACAGGATTACTGAAGTCGAGCGATCTGAAGGCAAACGTGTAGTAACACTTGAACACGAGGCAAAGAGGCTGCCATCATCATTAAGAAGTGAAATGATGATCTTTCAATTAAGGCTAACAATGCACATAACATAGTCTCCCTCAAGGCATTCACGGTGCCGCAGTCGTAGTTGAAAACTGGCTTGTTTTCTCATTAATGAAAAGACCGCTGGGTTTTTTCATTGCAGACGGAGGCTTCTTTTTGTTAACGCACCTTGAAGAATCTCCAAAATGACGGTTTCAATGCTTTAAAGCTTAACTTGCAGTTTGTATTCTAATTCAGTCAAGTTTTAGCATAACAAACTGAAGCATGATGTTAAATCGTGCTGAAAGAAAAAGAAAAACACCGTATTCTATGTAGTGATGTTCTTCCCTTCTAATATGAACGAAAGCCAAAAGTATTAAGTTTTTGACAACATCATTTCAGCCCGTATACAGTACAAATGCTCATTACATGAGGTGCATTTTGGGGGTTTTAAGCCCAGAAACTCCTCTCTTCCCCTCTCCTTTCCCGAGAACAGAGAGATGCTGAGAGCCATCCTTCACTCTGTGGGAATATAGAATTCACCCGCCTCAGACACCAGCTGCTAATATTGTGTGTGTTGTGTGCATATGCAGCCTGTGGTGTACAAGTCCACGCAGGCAGTGCAAAGAGAGAAGGAGAGCGAGGGGTGGGGGGGCTGGGAGGGGGGGATAGTGTTCGATAGAGGTTAGTGTTTATCGATTGAGCCCTGAAGCTCCGGTCAACGGACAGACTCCCCCGAGACTGCTTCATCTCTCTCAGTTTCTTTCCCTTCCCCCTCAGCAGCCCTCCTTCATTCCCTCTCCTCTCTAGTGGAACTTCTTCACACCCGATATCTTACCCTTTTATGTGATGATTCAGCTGAGTTTCATATTCACACGGGCTCTTAATATTTCTGCGTTTGCCGGCAAACTGCGCGGCCGGTCGTCAAACACAGCCTCTCGTACCTCATCGACGCGATGAGACGGAGATGAAAAGCAGGAGGAAGTGAAACTAGAGAGCACACAGGGGGAGTTCCAATAATGTCCCTGAAAGAGAAGTGTGATCCTTCTCAGTCTGTGATGTGTTTTTATGTATAAATCCTTAATGAAGTGAATTTTCTGCTGTGTTTAATTTTCCAGGCCTGGCATAAATTTGATGGACGAAAAGAACAGGAATGTAATGTCCAGTCACAACTTCAGCGGCCTCAGTGCTTCTCAGGTTTGTGCTGCCGAGACTCTCTTCACCCACAAAGCCACGCACAAACAACACCTTCCTACTGCTTGTTTCCCGTCCTGGATATTTGAATTAGCTAAAAGTCAGGAGTCGATCCTTTATCCGTTTTGCTTTCTGCGCACAGATGAAGGCCTGCTGTAAGCACAGATGTCGGCCCAGTGCCTTGAGCTCCAGGCTCGCCAGGCGGGTGACCCAGCTGAAGCAGAAGGCCGCCGCCCAGCACGGCGCGGCGTCCGCGGGCACGCTCCACAGCGGCGAGGACGACCCCTCCAAAAGCCACTGCAGAGCAGGAGGAAAAGGTCCGAAAGAAGGAAGCGCTCAAGCACGCTCAAGAGAGAGAGAAATGAAATTCCTAAACTAACCCGTCTTCTGCTGTTCTACTACCAGATCTGCAACAGGACCGGACCACCAGTCAGGCCGAAAAGAGGAAGAGGGGCCGAAAACCTAAAGTCCTGATGTCCGCCAACCCGAACAGAGCCCATCACAAGGACAGCCGCGCATGTGAGAAGTTTGATAGCAGAGACGAAAAGATCAACAGCGAGTGCTCAGAAAATGGTGAGTTTATCAGTGGGCCACACACCAGGCCTTTTATTTTCAGTCTTCTTTTTCTCTGGAGCAAACCCTGACACGGGTCAACGGAGAAAGAGAAAAAAAAATTAGGAACTGGAAAACAAAACTCGCAGTTAAGTAGGAAACACGAGCTCTAAGTCAAACGGCGAGCTCTGCAGCTTTCACGAGGCAGTTCATCAGAGGAGTGGAGCAGTGCTAATTTGGCTGAGGGGCTGATGAACATTGGTCATTCAGTGTGAGATTTCGCAACCAGACAGCGTCTGAATATGTCTGTGCCTGCAAGAGTGAGATGTCTGCCGTCATCGGGGGGCCTCCTCTCACTTCGCTGCTCGTCTGTCACGCTGTTAAAACCGTTAACGACTTGCCACAGGCATGCACCGCGGCTGCCCCCAACCCCACCCCCTGCCCTCTTCACTCCACGGTAACGCGAGCCCTCTCCGGCCCCGTCCAGAATGTCACACCCACTCCCCCCCCCCTCTCTCTTGTTCCATGTCCAGCCTTGTGAAAATGTCCCTCATTGAAAGCCTTTAATCAGAATCACATTGATCTCGTCTATGAACTTTTCACGGGAGAGTCTGCTAACAAACAAAACCTCCACCCACACTCCAAAATTTTAAAAAACATTTGAAGGTGCAGATTCTGGCCTTTGCGGCATGGATAGGTAGTGATTGAACGTGTTTGTGTCCGAGGCAGGTGTTGACGAGAATGCCATGTAAGTGACAAGTGTGTCAGAGACGTGTTGACACCCGACACAGCCCCCGCAGTCAGTGACACACAGCTGCCAATAATAATCTGTTTGTGCGCGCATGCAGCGAACGCGCGCGCCAACATTTGTTGCTGCAATAGGCCGCACGTAATTCTGTAATTCTGTCAACATGGAAGCACGGCTCGCTCCACAGGTGCTAATGTGCAAAAACGAGGCTCCGCATTTAGGAAGGAAAAAAAGTTTCACGTTCATCATAATAATGCAAGTTTAGCCACATGCTTGTAGGATGTTAAACAGAAGCAAAAGGAACCTTGATCGCTCGCCGAAAATACAACTCAACAAGTGAGGTCTGGCTGCTCAGATGTAAATTGGTTGAAGCTTTCTAATGAGTCCTGTTTACATTGTGGTTTCGCAGAGGAGGAGGACAGCAGCTGTGACAGCGAAGACTGCACGAGTGACATCAAGATTAGCTCATCCTCCAAAGACGTTTCCGCAAGCTTTGGCGGGGGCATGGCTTTTTCATCACAGTCCTCCAAAGTCCAAGCCAACCACAAAGTCAGGAGTAAGAGGCCAGGGCTTCCTGGTGAGAGTTTGCTTACTGTTCCTCTAATTATCTGTAGTTGTTATAACATTATTCTTTGTTTTTAACTTTAATTGGAGGTATACAATGTTATTTAGAATGGGGATATTTGTTCTTTCTCCACCTTCTCCACTCTTGTATCTTCTATGTATTTTTGCCATTGCGACAGCTTAATGAAAATAATCTGTGTGTTATTAGGCCTGGGACACTTGCCTTACTCAGAGGAGCGGAGAGCACCCAGGAGGCCGAACATAAGCAACGTGGAAAAAGGACTTCCAGACTACCCTGGGACTAACAGAGCCGGTCTGCCCAACTGGGGTGTGCTGCCAGTGGGCTGCAGCTTCGGGGAGAGCTTCAGAAGCAACCAGTCTCAGACTCGGACGGGGAAAGACATCACAAGGAGGACGTCTGCAGGCCAGGGTTTATGGGGGAAGGTGAGACACTGCCATGTCAGTCAGCAATAATATATGACTGCTGACATGACACTTTTACATTGACACCTTTAAAACTTTGTTTCTTACATTTTAACTTAAAAAAAACAACGTTCTCTTGTCTATGAAAGCTATACATGGAATTCTGCTATAATTTAGAGTAAATATCATATTCAGAATGGAGTGTCGGAACCCATCCAGTGATAAACATAACTTTGAGGGTATCTTTGTGCTTTGCAGCTGCTCCCCGACTGTTCTCACATGTCATGAGCGAAAGTTGAGATGCAACTGTCTCTTTAAGGGTTATAACGGAAAAGGTTACATGATAAGTCTCACTATAAATTATCGCTGTGGCAGTGGTGGCCACAGTAATCGCACTACTTTTGGAATGAGTTAATCAGCAAACGGTCACACACCTTTAGTGTTGGCTGTACTAGAGCTTAACCACCGGCAGTGGTTAAGCTCTAGTACTGAATGACGAAGCCAGAGACCTACTTCTAAAAACCAAACGAATGTAAGCAAGGACCTTACTTGTTGAAGTGAGCCACACCCTCCCAGAAAGTCTGACAATCCTGTAAATTAACATCGACAGCAACCAGCAATCCCTTCTGCTTCCCTTATGAGGAGATGTGCAGCACATCAGCTGTAAATCAGTCACTCTGTCAAACGCACTCTTGTCATAGGGGTGTGTATCGGCGTATCGGCTTTATCTGAACAAGCAGCTGCTTGAATCTTTTTCAAAGCAAGATACCCCAAAGCTGCCTCAGTCGTTTAGTCATCATGTGGGAATGCTGAAAAACAGAACACGGGAATATTAAGATAATCAATGGCCTTAGCTCTACACACAGGCAAACACACACACACACACATGCGTGCGTGCTTTTAAATACACATCACCTGCACTAACAGGAAATAATCGTCTGTGCCCTCTGGTGATGAAACTTCTGTCACAAAAATATATGGTTTCTTGATGTGGAAAACTCCAACACACACACACATACATACACACACACACACACACACACACACACCATCTTTCATGCATTGATTATTATGATCTCCTCTGTGGAAAGCCGAAATGCAAGCAGGAACCTGTTGGGTTAGCTAACTTTCCATCATCGCTCATCTGTCATGTTTGTAAAGACTAGCTCGAACCGGTCTGGAGATGGGTTTTCTCAGGTGTGTGTGTGTGTGTGTTTGTGTGAGTGAGAGAGAGAGAGAGTCTGTCCCCCTGATGTGAAGCATCCTTCAACAATAGCTGAAATCCAGTCAGTTCAAGGGCTGCAGTTATTACTGACTGTGACCTCTAACCTTCAAGTGAACAGCGGCGAGTGAGAAAAAATCCTCCAGGCTTAATTGAAGTATCAATTTACAGGAGTTGTCGGTGCCTGTGTGTTCATTTCACAGTTGTGTTCACCGTATGAGTCAGTTCAAATAAAAAAAAAATAAAAAACTCGATTCGGTTTACTTGCAGCTTCTACTTTCTGGTGATTTCGTCTGTGAGCGTAGTAATATCGTGTCCTACTTTCTGCCTATTGACGTAATTTCCTGTGTCCCCGTTCAGGAGAAGGGCCACGGTGTCAGCCAGCTCCTGCAGAGCTTTGCAGCCGACGACGGCTTTTGCTTGGACGAAGACAGCAGCTTCTCTGAAGGAGAGGAGGAGGAAGAGGAGGAGGCAGAGGGGTTGAAGGAGAAGTCGTTGACACATCTTCCTCCCAACATGCCTTGCAGAATACCTGGTGGGCACAAACAGTGACACATCATTCATTATTACTCTCACGCTAGCCGGTTTGAAAGCATTCTTCACTGGGATTCATGCACACTTATGTTTATACAGCCATGCCCTGTTCCTGACATCACGTTGCAATTATTCAGAACACTCACAAATGATCTGTGTCTTGCCTTTTATCTGCTCCACCCATCCATCTTTCAACCCCACCACCTGTCCTCAGCCCTGCCGAACTGTGTGCTGAGCAGAGAGATGTTGGTAGACGGGCTGAAGATTCTTATCTCCAAGGAGGATGAGCTGCTGTACGCTGCCTGCGTTCAAACGCTGGACCTGCCCGACATGTAGGACCCGCTTTCAAATTACGGCTCTAAAACCAAATAGCAGGAAGATAGTGAATTCCAAAAAAATAATTTCAAAATACTTGAAATTCAGGTTAAATGGAAATTACATGTATTGCTAAGTGAATGGGAAATCTAGAAAACTACAGAGCCTGGAACCTATCTACAGCATGTTTATGACAGAGAGGGTTTCAATAGAAAATGGCACGTCTAAAAATATGTTTATGTATATTTTTTTTTAAATTATATCATTCATGTATTTTAAAAATTTTTCCTCTCAGATTTAGTGTCGTTATCGAGGGGGAACGAGGGAATCGTCCCAGGATTTACTCACTGGAACAATTACTACAAGAAGCCGTAAGTTCCTACCTCATATTTAGCAGACTCGCGACATTCACACCGCGTCCATTAAAAAAAAAAAAAAAGTAACCTATTTTTCTTTTTTGCTCCAGGTGTTAGATGTGCGACCTCAGACGGAGGCTATCCTGACTGAAGGGACGCGGGTTTGCGCCTACTGGAGCGAGCGCTCCCGCTGCCTTTACCCCGGATACGTCCATCGTGGTGAGCTCCCGCCGACAGCCGCTCTCTGCCCTCACGTGCGCGCCCGTTTTTACAGGCGACTCATGTCTGCCCTCCTGTCTTGTGCCTTAGGAGGCCCGGGTGAGGAGGAGAAGGAGGGCAGCGTGATGGTGGAGTTTGATGATGGAGACAGAGGAAGGATATCCCTTGTGAACATCAGACTTTTACCTCCTGGATATCAAATCTGCTGTGAGTATGGCTTTATGAAGAGCCCCCGGGGGCCAGAGGAGCAAAAAACATGCGGACTAAATGACTGAAAAACTCCTTTAATAGGTGCTGAACCTTCTCCAGCTCTCCTGATTACTTCTGGTCGACGAGGCCGGCGTACCACAGCCCTGGAGAAGAAGGACACCCCCACAGAGACACAAACACCCGAGGAGCCACGAGGGAGACCCCAGGAAAAAAGACCAGGTAAGGAGAAGGTAACACACGGAGCGCTCTCCCTTATCATCATCGCTCCTCAAATTTGTAGTTTGATCATTTTTCTAAAAGAACTTATGAATGCTGCTTAGTTCTGAAATAATCTACCAGTCAGCACATGTTGTCTGACACTTATTTAAAAGATAAGACATACAAATCAAGATCACTTGTTTCATTCTTCCCCTTTGCATAAGCGCGATAATTCCTGCTATTATGAACTGTCATTAGTGTGCTTAAAGTGGAGCTTCATACATGTAACTCATCTCAAACTCAGTCACGATAAAGCTTGTGAGCGGGACCGGTTTACCAGGTTTGTTTTTGTTTGAGCAATGCTTATGTCGAAACTAGGTAAAGATCAGGGAGATAAAGATTAAGTTTCACAAGAGCTCTTAGTGTAACAATTAATCACAGTTTGCCTTTACAACCTGTCACTTCATATTGATTTCAGCCCTCCTCTCCTTTGGGCTCCTTTTGTTTTTTTTTCTTCAGTTGGCAGGCCGAAGAAAATCAGCCTGGTGCCAAAAACGGCGAGCTTGCCGACTTCAGTAACAGACACTGTAACTAAAGTCACCAATTCCTTGTTGAGCTGGTCCACACCCAGGAAGAGACCTCCGGTTGACTTCTTCCTCTTTAATGGGACGTCCCGTAAGACTCAGAAGAAGTTTCGAGAGCGAGACTTGGGTCTGTTTCATCGGCCTGCTTCGCACCCCCTCGCGCCGCCAACCCCCATTAAGAGCATTTTTGGCTCTCCCTTTGAGGTCGACTCATTCAGTAGCATCGCTAATGGCTACTCCACCTTTGGGAACGGCGGAACCTCTGGAGCTGGGAGACCGGTCGCCACCACGGCCTCCCTGGGGCACCGGGACTCTTCGTGTCCCTCGGCCGTCCCCGTGGCGACGGCGGCCGGGGGCCGCAAGCCCGCGAGTGAGCGCGACAGGAAGCACTTCCTGGTCAAGCTGGACCACGAGGGAGTGACGTCGCCCAAAACCAAGAACGGGAAGGCTCTGCTCCGGCTGGGGGGGGCCGGACTGAGGGGGCTGAAAGGCCTGGCCTCCCCGGGGGCGCCGCTGCGCTACATCCAGTCTCCTCTGCTGGGCAAAGACGCCAAGAGGGGGGGAGGGGAGAGAGATGGCGCCGGAGCTCGGCCCGAGGCCGTCCTTAAGGGCGTTCCTCCTCCGAGAAAAGACCTCCTGGCGGCAGGTCTCGGGGCCCAGGGAGGGGAGTACGGTTTGGACTACATCAGCGACTGCCCCAGCTCCTACTCAGAGCTGGACGAGGAAGACGAGGACGACGGTCGAGAGCCCGACGGACGAAGGAGAGCCGCCGCCGCCTCCCATCGGGGCGGCCGCTTCCTGTCTCGCCCGTCCCTCTGCTTCTCCTCCTCTTCCTCCTCCTCCTCCTCCTCCGGCTCCGTCTCCTCCTCGTCCCTCTGCTCCTCCGACAACGACTCGTCCTACTCGTCGGACGAAGAGTCCTCCTCCGTGCTGCTGCGCCGGGCGCTCCTCCAGCAGGACAAGCACAAAAACAGGCAGAGCGCGAACCCCGACCCCCGGAGCCCCGACCCCGCCAGCTCCCCGCCCTCCTCGTCGGCCCCGGCTCACGGTTACGCGGCTAAAAGTGGCCTGGCGGCGGCAGGGTCAAAGGTCAGGGCTGACAAAGCAGAAGACAGAAAGGAATACGTGCCCAAGGGAGCTGGGATGGCAAACAGCGGCCCGGCCAAGACCCAGCCGAAGAGGAAAGAGAGCGCCTCTAACAACCTCCATCATAACCAGAGCGGCCCCATGAGCCAGCAGCTGACATCTTCCTCCAAGGACCTGGTAACGGCTAAGAAACAGAGGATGTCTTCTCCCGAACCCCGTTCCAACATGGCGCCCATGCTGCCTGGACGCCAGCTGTGGAAATGGTCCGGCAACCCCACACAGGTAGGACACCTTCGGTTGTGTTTTTCTTTACCCAGAGTGATGTTAAATAGAGGCATTAGTGCGTCACTGGTGGAATCAAGTGTGTACTCCATGTATGAAATGGTCAGTGTAGTCTGTTGACTTACCCAAAGTGCTGGACACTGTCCAAAAAAACCTCTTCTGGGAGGGCATCCGCACAAAGAATGTCACGTTTGAGAAGCATGTTTCACTTTGAATCTGAAAAGAATTTAGGTGACCTTTCACTAAGAACGCTGCAGGTCCAGGGAGCTGTTTTAAGTCCAGGAAGTAGAAGCACAATAAAATGCCTTTGTCATGGACACTGAAGTCAGAAAAGCCCGTAACCGGCCGTCCATGTTGAATTAGTCTGCGTGCTGACCAGATTAAAACAAAGTTATTGTTTTCAACCTCAAAACTGCATCACTGGTTAACATATTACTAAATTCTAGGTTTAGATAAATAATAAAAGAAAGAAACCCAATTGTTTTTTAAGATATATCATTTAGTTTTTTTTTTTAAAAACAACCCTCCGTGCTGAATAAAGTGAGTGAGTACTGTTTGCTTTCTCTCTATCCACGACAGAGGAGAGGTCTGAAAGGTAAAGCCCGTAAGCTTTTCTACAAGGCCATCGTGCGGGGCAAGGAGACGGTGCGTGTCGGAGACTGTGCCGTGTTCTTGTCACCCGGCCGGCCCCAGCTGCCCTACGTGGGCAGGGTGGAGAGCCTCTGGGAGTCCTGGAGCTCCAGCATGGTGGTCAGGGTCAAGTGGTTCTACCACCCGGAGGAGACTCGTCTGGGAAAGCGGCACAGAGACGGCAAGGTAAAGGGAAGAAAAAAAAAAAACCCCAACAATTTCTGTTGGGGACTGGTAACAGGATAGGAGTATGTGACAGTTTTGTAGAAATACGGCTTTGCTTTGCCGTCTGCTGTTTCTTATTCCCGTCTTATTGAATGCCTGAGCTTCCACTTTCCCCGTAACATTTGTATTTTCTAAACGCTCAGTCTGAGGTGTTAGAAGGGTCTTTCCCAGGAAAAGTCCCCACTGCGCAGGAAGTCATGTATTTTACATCAGCGCCAGCAGAAAAAGAAGGCTTTTGTTTGGAGTAAACAGAAAAAAGGCTGAGCGTGTATATTGAGCAGCTGCCTCCACCACTGACTCTGCTCATAGCGGAGGCAGCTGAAATCTGAGAAAAAGGATTCAATGAATCAGACGTGGAAGTAAAAAGAAAGCTAAACATGCTGCCAAAGGAACGAAACAAAAACTGCTTTAGAAAAACTGATGAAACATTCCCCCCCCCCCCCCCCCCCCCCCTTCTCCACTAGAACGCCTTGTATCAGTCCAGCCACGAGGACGAGAACGACGTGCAAACCATCTCCCACCGCTGCCAGGTGCTGAGTAAGGCCGAATACGAGCACCTGACGCGCGAGCGGAAGCCGGGCATTATGGCCAACGACCTCTTCTACCTGGCCGGCACCTACGAGCCGACCACAGGCCAGCTGGTCAGCGCCGATGGCATGGTCATCCTGTCCTAGCGGCGCCGGCTCCGCCGATAAAACCCACAAACGTCATCCAGACCCGAGGAAACTGCGGGATGGTCCCCTCGTCGGAGAGCAGGAGTTCGAAAGCAAATCGAGGCAAGCGAAATTGTGGCTCCGTACTCCTCGCAGGAGACGGGAGCTGATTTGCTGGGGGAGGCCCCCACCATGCTGGCACTTACAGCAAGTCCTGCTCGTTCGGGGGGGAGAGAATTCTGACACGTGGCAGATATGACCCTCCGAATCAGACGTGGGTTGAGGGTGCCGGTAGCTCTGAGAGCCCCCGGCCTTCCCTGTGGCTGTCCCACAACGGCAACATGAAGGTACCCAAACCAATGACACGAGCACTTTTGGAGTGTACTAGTTGGGATTTGTAATGGAGAGGGAGCGGTGGTGTGGGGTGGGAGGGCATCACGCTCGGGCTTTCTGAAACCCAGAGAGCGGAAGGGACTGTACGGTAGGGAGAGACTTCCTTTAAACCACACTGGTTTGGATGCTTTTTAATGGTCTTATACTGGTAGTCTGACTACACCGACTGAGATCCCCAACAGGACCAATAAACACTGTAGTTTGGACCGTCTTTGAACGCCTCCGCGTGTGTTTGCAGAGGGCCTGCGACGACCCCGTTCGGCATTTAACGAGCTCTAAGTAAATAGTGCTTTAATGTGTGTGTGTTTGTACAGTGCGTGCGTGCGTGTGTGTGTGTGTGTGTGTGTGTGTGTGTGTGATCATGGAGGCCTGCGCTCAGCGAGGAACACAATGTGGCCCGAGCCCGTTTCCGACGCCCCTCTGTCAATCAGTCCAGTCCAGTGTGGCTCCTCAGTCCTCGCGACCCAAACGCAGAACAATGTTTTTTCCTCCTTTCAAGCCATACACATCAATACCTCTCTCTCTCTCTCTCTCTCTCTCTCTCTCTCTCTCTCGTGTCCTGCTGTCCGCGTGTGAGGACGGGACCGTTTATTTGACCCGTGTGCAGATGTGAGAATGGACGAGTGCGTGCCTGTTGTACAGAGCTCTGTGTGGCGTGACACAGTGTAAATAGTATACATATAAATTTGTTCCTGGTTCTTGTTTTTATTTTGCAGAGAAAAAAATTATTTTATTTAGATTTTTTTTAGGGCGGGTGGGTCGAGGGCTCCGGCACAGTTAAGGAAGTGGCGTTACGTTTCCTTCTCTCTCAATGCACTGAACATGATAGGAGATTTGGATTCGTGGTCGATGTGATGACTTTGTGGTTGTAACAGTTGCTTTAGGCAAAAGTCGAACATGTAGAAATGGTATCTGGGAAATGTTGTTTTTTATAAATATGACAAAAAAATCTCTTTTTACATATGTCCATTATTTTCCTTTTATTCTTTGTCATACTTTGTTGGGTTCAGAATGTACATTTCTCCTTTTTTTTTTTTTAAAAAAAGAAACAACAAAACAAATACTGGAAAAGCAAGATGAGTTTCTGCTGTTCTCTGATCCTATTTTATCTATTTTAACCTGTATTGCTATAGAAAAATGTAGATATTTATCTGTCAGCAAAAAGAAACGTACCAAAGCACCTGTTCGTCGACGCTTCATCCAACCAAGATTAAAACGATTTTATGAAAGATGCTCAATCAAATCTGGATCCGGGACCCCCCTGCAATCACAGAGGCATTTGACAGAGTTCCTCTTGTTGTCCGCTCAAGTTCATCCCGCGTTGCTATGACGGCCTCCCAGACAGGCTGCAGCCGCATTGTCTGCACGCTGCCCAGCTGATGCACTTGAGATTTCTATGGCAACCAGAACGGCATCACGTGACTGTGAAGGACAATCAGAGCCAATCAATGAGACAATGTTGAGAGACTAAAATAGAATTAAAAGAAAAAAAAAAAACACATAATGGATCAAATCTTAAATTATGCTTCTTGTCACTTTTATTCCTGCTTTGCCAAAAAATGTCTGTGTTTTAATGTTTTTATGTTTTATCATCTGGTTTTTTGCAAACCTGAGACGGCTGTCGTCACTATATCGGATGTACATGGGGAAGAACATGAATGCTTTTTTTTCCTTTTCTTTTTTTTTTTTACGACTTTGACTGACTTACACTGCAAAGCAAAAGCTTTAAATGAAATTTAATGTGAAACTCGATTTTGAAAAATGACTTTTATGGGTCTTTAATTGATTTTTGTTTTGGTTTATTTGTTTTAAAAAAAGGCTGTTTTTTTAAAAGAAACACTGGATTCAGATCTTAACACCCCATTTCGACAGAGAGGACATCATTGTGTGTTTTTCTTTTTTTTCCTCTTTTTAAAAACATTCTTTTTTAGACCCACTGGAACCTGCTTTGTATGGTTGAGAAAGCCTTCTAAAGTATATTATGTAATTTCAGTATTTGGAAATATAACTTAATTTCCTCATGTACAAAAAGAAAAAGTATTTATCTTAATTTTATTGCCTTTTTGTGTTCCATTAAAAAAAAAAAAAGATTCTTACAAATACAAGAGAACAGTTGTTGTTTTTTTTGCTTTTTGTGTTGGCTGTGAGCTCTGAATGCTGCCTTGTGTGCATCAATGCCGATCATTTGTCAGATGAAAGAATACGAACCACAGAAGAAAAGGAGTAGAGAGGAGGGGGTCTAGGAGGATTGGAAGGGGGGGGGTGGACACACGAGAGGAGGAAGCAATTTGAAACTATAGCTGCGACCAATAGAAAGGGAAGAATGGGGTGGGAGAAAGGGAAACTGTATCTTGCGGTGCTCCATGAGGGGAGATGGGGAGGGATAAAGTCTCCTCGGGCTCTTCAGGTGGGTCTGGTATTCAGAATAATAAGAACGGAACAGGACCATTAAAAGAACAAAGTGATGGTGTCTGCTTTCAGTCTGAACAGATTTGAAATCCTCACTTTACGCACCCACACAGTGTCGGTGGGACTATTTACCTGGAGTTCACATGGATTCCTCAGACAGGATGGGAATCCCATAGCTATTTAATGTTAAAGCTCATGACCCTACATTTAAGAAGATGATGGCCTGCCAACAGGCGCGGCGCCCGGGCACCTAAAAGCCGTTGAGTCGATTATGATCTGCATATCAAAATGTGAGGCAGTCTGCCAGACAGATAAAGCTCGGCTGAAAGGTGTCTGGAAACAAAAAGCACCGAGGTGTAACAGTTACCCGGTCAAAGTCCAGACCTCCACCTGATATTGTGGCGGGACCATAAGAGTTTAATAAACTGAAGCAATACTTAAAAAGGAAAAAAAAAAAAGCGGGGCAAGGTTCCATCCCAACAATAACGGGCCGATAAGATCACACAGAAATTGATTCCTATAAGTTTCTGCTGACAAAGGCGGATCTACAAGCTTTTGGGTCATAGGTGTACCTATTCTTTCACTCCTTTTGCAATTTATGTTTGTTTTTTGTTTAATTAAGACATAGTAAAGCTGTTTAATTTGTATTAAAAAAATCTATTTTTTGGGAATTTGAAAACTCATTTTAAGACCAGGTGAAGAATAGATATTTTACTATGTCCTGATTTCTAAAAATCCAGAATGTGGGTGTGCTTTCTTCTTCATTTGACTCAAGGTTTCCAACAGAATTGTGTGCTGCTGTGTGTTGACGCTCGCAATCAAAGTTTACGAGCGGAGATATACGTTGCCTTTTACGTGAGACTTTCAGTAACACATTCACACCTTCTTATCTCGATGTAACAACATACTCTTTTTTTACTTTTTATACAGCTTATCGTAAACTTCTCGTCCACATGGAGCAGTTACCTTTGGCCTCATTGTTCCACCGGATTGTCGCGTGGCACTGCTCAGAAGGAGATTGATCACGGCGTTCCCTTGAAAAACCAGCCATAAACATTATTCTAATCTGGGCTGACCTCAGAATGGCATCCCCTCCTTCACCATCTTTCCCATTTTTTTTTTCTCGGCTTTGTCCGCTCTACTCATCAATGCAAGAATTCCTTACTTTTTTTTTTCTCCTGAATAACTTCACTAATGGTCCTTGAACATAGTTTAAAATCACTCTGGCACACATTCACTTAAATACAACTTCTTTGTCCACAGAATGTGTTTGCTTTTCTTTTGTCTTCTGCGTGTAGCTTTCTTTGCAGCTTGCCTTGTTATTGCAAAGATATGAAACTATATCCCTGGCGTGTACACACACACACACACACACGCACCACACACACACACAAACACCCCTATTCTGCTCACTGTTGGTCTTTTACATCCTCTTCATCGGCTCCTCCATCAACCGACGCCCTCAAAACACACAGACATTAAGTGCAGTCTTTGACTCCTTATCAGTAGTTTGCGTTGGGCTTATCTGCTTGACATTGTTAAACTACTTTACCCAGAATGCCGCAGGAGATAGGGGCACAATGGTAGGTTGGGGGTGCCCTCTGGGTTAATGAGAGGCTTTCACGTTGCAAGAGCAAACATGCTGCAAGCTGATTTGAGTGTGTGTAGGCCATGTGTGTGCGAAGGGTCAAGGTGTCACAGAAAGGAGCGCTGACTTTTATTGTAGTTTTTCTTAGTAATTCTTTGGTTTTTCTGCTGCGGGCTGGTGGACAAAGACCCAAAATCTGAAACACGTCACTCATCTAAAGGAGCCCGGTCCATCTATTGTTCGTACTTGTCTTGTTTCTATTACAAGGTTACGGAAGAGAAGAAGAGAAAAAATGGAGTGAGAGCTAACAAGTTGAGCATGTGCTGGTGGTGCAGGGGGGAGGCTTTCCAATCCCATGAAAGCCCTCCATTTAGATATAGCCTGAGCATGTCACTAAAGTGAATGAATGGCTGTCAGCTGCAGCAGGACGCTGCTGGTGTGTGCACCGGGGTGTATTCAGGTCAGAGTGAGAGTAAGGAGATCAGCGCTTCTGTCTACATCACCTCATCCATCGTTCACATGAGCCTCCGCGAACTTGCTACAGGTATCCATTTTACTGTGTGTGTGTGTGTGTGTATGCGTGTGTGTGTGTGTGTATTCGTTCTGTGACATTGTAGATGTCCTTATTGCC